CTCAGAGGTGGATATGTGTTGCGAGGGTGTTTCTTGGCCGATCAACTGCCCATTAGAAAAGATCGTACAACATATAATGAATTTTTTGTGGTTAACATACTTACCTCTCGCACAGACCAACATTAATGGGTCATTATGTATTAGTAGTTGTTGGGAAATATTGTATTGCCTACTTTGATTCCTACGGATCAAGCCTCATATTTATTCTCCTTGGTTGCAAAGATTTATCGACCAGTATTATGATAAGAGCTTCCTTGACATTGGTAGACATTTGCAAAGCATTGATAGTTTAACATGCGGTGCCTATGCGATCTTTATCATGTACCATATTAATTTGCATGGAATAGATTATATTGTTAATTTTCTGCGCTTTTATTTTTCACAGAATGATTTTAGATATAATGACAGAAAAGTTATTAGATTTTTGTATAGAAACTTTAAAATGCCTCGGTGTGAAAGGTTGTTTTGTAACGAATCACTCAGTAAAAAGGAATGTGAGCGAATGTTTTGCGGAATAGGTAATTAAGTACAGACCTCACCCTTCACCCCTCCCCTCGTGTTTTAAGAGTTGGGATTGGTGGGATGGTCTGCTGGTTCTCAGATCTTGTCGTATAAAAGGCGTTCGATTCTGAAGGGTGATACAGTTTTTTCTTAAGCATACCAAGATGAACTCAACCTTTATGAAGAATACCTCGCTGCCAGGTAAAACATTTCTTTGTTTTTCTCGTAAAAACTCGGTGTTTGACTTGTATTATAACTATGAACATTTTTTGATATTTTGTGTTGTTTTTTAGATGTTGAAGGGTAATTCATTGGTGTTTTTTATTTACAGGTGTTGCTGTTGGAAGTACAATAGCAATTTTTCATTGGGATGGGTCTGCTAACGAATACACCTTTTACAAAGGTGAGTCTCTGAAAACTTGAACTTTTTTAACTTTATCAGATATATGTATTTTCATTTGTGTACTTTGCCATTGTAAATCTCGATGTGTTAATATGTTTCTCTGTTGTAGTCATTGCAAATCCTAGTGTGTTCATGTGTTACTTTCTGTTGCAGCTTTTGAGGATGGTGCCGATGCATGCGTCATTGTTTTACATAAGCAGAGTGTGCGGTCGCAGTCGGTATTATCCCCGAGAAAAAAGAAGGGTCTCTCCAGTGGAAGCCAGCACCTCCGGGACGACAGCGGAGAGAGCTGACACTTTCGCGGAACCGAAGGAGGCAGCAGACGCGTCATACCCATGTGTCACTGTGTGACGTCTTGTTGTATATCGCCTGTGTGGGATGAACCCTCACCTTCCACCCCTCAATGCCGCTTTCGGGGAACCTGAAGAGAACCGAGATGTGTCACCCTCTTACATGTCGCCTGCGAGGGTCGAGTCCTGCTCTCGCGTTATTTTGCCTGCTGTGAGCCCTACGTCGCCTGCATACCGTCCCACGGGAAATAGCGAAGCTATTCCGTTTGTGACATTTCAAGCGATGAGGACGATGAAGAGATTGGGTTGGCTGCGGAAAGATTTTCCCCTCCTGCATCGCCGTCTATTTCAGATGAGATCCCACTCATAGAAATTTCAAGTGGTGATTCCATTCAAATTATATCCCCCTGCCCGTCGCCTCCTCTGAATTTTGGCCTTACGCAAAATATGCCTGATGAGGACATAAATCTGTCGCAAGCGATAGATCTGTCCTTCTGGGGGCCTTCATAGAACAATGTATGTGTGTGTGTTACACTATTTTTTTTTTTTTTTTGAAAATGTATTATTAATATTCTTTGTATGTTAATAAAAATAAAGACATATTGAGTACAACGAATTTTATACTCCTTTCCGCTGAACTCTATACTTATAAACGAGGTGCTTTTCGATTGTGGGGAACAAACTGTGAATATCTGATTAATTAGTGTCTGTGCCTGACTTCTGAGGGGATAACTTTATTATTGAGATGTTTTAAGACAATGTAGGCCATCCCACATGTTCAAACATGACGAATAGATGCTGTTATTGATTTCGCTGACCTGACTCACATCGGTAATGGCTTAATTTTGCGCGTGACCTGGAGGGCGGTGGGAATGAAGGGTGGGGGGACTTGGGTGGTTGGGGGACACCTGTTTGGTGTGCGTATTATTCCCCATTAGCCACGGTTATTGATTTCCCGTAATCAATTATGATAATTACTTCCGGAAGTCATTAGGTCACTTCCTGTTATGACACGTCAGGTATGTGCATAGCGGGATAAGAGGGTAGTCATAGGGTGAGGCTGGTGAGTCCAAGGTGTTTTTGGGTGAGGGGGTTGGGGTGGTGGAACCTGTGACACCTGCTCTTAGGATGATAGTTTGACCTGCGGCAGCAGGATCCATGTTTGTTTGTTTCCTCTCTTCCTCTTCTTCTTCTTCTTCTCTTCTTCCTCTTCTCGTATTCTCCTTATTATTATTATTATTATTATTGTTGTTTTGGAGAGGAAAGGAATGGGGGGGCACCCCTTCAGGTGTGCGTGTTCTCCATC